CCTGCTGACAGTAAAGGGAGCAGGATCAGCTCTGTGCTCTCAAAAGCAATTACATGTATTTCTGTTCCTGCAAAAACTTTGCATTCACTCTTGTCTGTTTTTCGATATTTTGAGAGGAACACAGGGATTGTGCACTTTAAAATCGATCACTATAGCAGTTTCAAATTAAAATTCAAACCAATTCTGTCTATATAAAACGGATTTGAGGAAACTGTGTAAAAAACCGCTGCTTTTGTCTTAAGATCAACACTGAGCTGTTCTATAAACGTTAATTTACTCTTTAGGTTACAGAAATACTATTTGCTGTTGGGTCTGTGCCACTCAGCAGGGAGCTGATGCAATGTTAGAGAAAATCACTCTAAATGGTGATTTTAACTCAACCAACACTCTTTGCTTGGGTAAAGCAATGATGAAATCTGTATCCCAGCAGCACAGCTGTGAAAGTCGGCTGCTTCGCTCGTTGCTAAGGAAATTTAAGTGTAGGAGATGCTTTTAAAAAGTAAAATGCAAATACCTTTGCACTTTGAGAAGTCAGGGAAATGGAACAGTTTCTGGTACAAGTGGACAAAACACACCCTTGCACTTGAAAGTGACAAGGCCTGGTGGTGCATGCTTGGATCTTAGAGTGAAGCTAGAAATTAATAGCACATGTATATCCCAGGAAATTCAAGCTGTGTGGGCTTATGTGTGGGGATGTAAATAATAGCAGCAATTATTTCAAACTGGAAAACTAAAATTCAGATACATTTTGCAGTTGTTTCTTAATACTTGATGCAATTTTGATAAAAAGAATCATCATCATCTAGATTTTCCTGTCTCCAAGCAATAATTTGGTAACTCAACCCCTTGGCTTTTTACTGCCTTATGTTGTGTTATCCATGCAATAAATGGATTTTCTGTTTTGCTATTTGAATAAATAATCTGCGTAATTATAGGTTTTCAAGTTTCTTCTGTAGTAGAAACTCTACTATATAGTGAAGTTTTTACACAGCACTTGGGAAGCTATTTTTTCCTCTTCACTATATAGCTATAGTGCATAGCTGTTATCACAAACTGAACTTACACAGCAACAAGAGGAAGTATTTTTAGGTGTGATCTCATTCTGCAAAGGATAGAGTTATTCTAAGTATGCACTTGTATTTTCCATTGTTTGCAGTAGCCATTAAAAAAAGCTAGAAAATAAAATGTTTCACCACTTACTCCAGCGTTCTTCTGGACCTGATCCAAAATCTATGGCAATCAATGGGAGTACTTAGTTAACCACTTCTTTTTTTCCTGATGTTTTAATGAATTTATAAATCATTGTAATTTCCCCTTTTTTTTTCAGTAAAAGCACCTATAATGCCTGTCCTATTAAGGAAAGTAAGCTGTAAAATTGCAGGTTTAATTTTAAATTTTTGGGGGGAAGGATATGCGTGGGTTTGAGGGATTTTTACCAGATATTTTCATCTAGCATATATGGATTACTCCTAAAGTTTCCTCTCCAGGTGCAGAGTCCTTGCAGAGTTACTTGTGCTAGGCAGGGGGATTTGGTGGTCCCAGAGCAGTGCTGAGCCCTAGCTGTGGTGCAGCACACCCCTCCCCACACCCTGGCCTGGCAGATACTCCTGTTGCAGACATATGACAAAGGCAGTAAGGAATTTAGAGGCTCTGTAAACTAATTTCTTCAGCAGCCACACCTTTTAATCAGGGGAGGAAATCTAGAGACTTCCAATCCATGCAAAAACAAGAGAGGCGAGCTTGTACAGAACCTAGGTCCCGGCTGCGGGTCAGGGGGGGTTTCAGGGTTGACTTGGTGGCAGAGGGCTCTGCTGAGTCCCAGGACACCCCTGGAATGGGCAGGACCCTCAGCAGCAGCTGCACTCTCAATGCCACACCCCAACAAAGGACAGCAGGGAACAGTAAAACTCCAGTCTTCTGTGGAAGGCACTAGTTCTTAATCTATGGGTCCTGGATGGTAGTGTCTTGCAGAGCGGTGTGGATTTCTGTCAGCAGCGGGACTGTCTTCTCCTTTTTCAGGTCCTGGAAGAAGCTTTCCGAGTCTGGCAGCTAGCAGGTTTAACAGTCCTGTCTCTTTTTAACGGCAGCTTCCAACACCTCTTCTTTTGTTCTCCTTTAACTGCTGGGGAATTTCCATTGCCTCAGTGTCCCTCCCCTCAGACAACCTGGGAGAAGTGAGTTTCCTTCAGCGGGGCCAACCTCCGCAGCAGCTGCATTGTTCTGCCAGGGCCCACGTCGGCCACTTGCCCCCATTGTCTGCTGGTTGCTTCCAGCCGCCCTGCGGGATACGTGACACGGTCCCTGTCAGCAAAAGGCCGAGCCAACATGAGCTGATGGTTTGAGTTATGTGAAGGTCGTAAAATAGACCTCAGCTGATAAGCATAAAATTTTGACTTAATGGTGTGTCTCTTAATAATTCTAAGTTTATTTATGGTGAATGAGAAATAAACCTTCTACCACACCAGGTGTATTCTGGAGCAATAGACTTCAACTTGCTCAGATTCATTCCCCCACACAGGACTGACCTTTTGGCCAAGGCCAGCTTCTAAAGAATCAGGGAAAGACAAAGAAGAAACCCTGAGAACAGCTTTGTCCCTCAAAAGGCCGTGTCTCAGATCTGTGGCAAAGTGTGTCAAGTGAGGATGCTGAGGAGGCTTTTTTTCTAAGATTTCCAGTATTTGGAAGCTTTGTGAACTTTTAATTTTCTGTTTTGTAGAGGTTGTTTTTTTTAAAAGTGTTTCTCCTAGCTACAAGTTACTTCTCCCTCTTCTCCCAGTTAGTACCTTTTGTTACAGTTTCATAGAATAATTTTGGGAACAGAACTGACTTCAGAAGTTCCAGCTCTTTCCTACACCATGGGGCAGTCTACCACCTGCTCAGTTCTGAAACAAAACCTCTTGCACAGAGAGTGTGTGCTTAAGATCACTGAAAGAGTCCCTGTTAAAAACAGGGTTGTGTTGGGTTTCTTCCTTAATCCAACCAAGTTTGGAAGTCATGGGGTCAACTTATCCATGGTGCAGAACATGTAGTCCTGCTCCAGTGATCAAAGACCCAAGCCAGGCTTGCTAGCACACAATCTATGAGAAAACTGGAGAGTTCAGAGAGAGCAGGGAGGATCTTCAGGGAAGTAGTGCATAGGCAGGTAATTCATTCTTTTATAAGGACCGACAGTGTATTCATTGAGGCAGGTAGTGCCTAAAGAGTTACGCCATTAAAAAGGCTGGAATGGGCAAAAATAATTTTTGCTAATTATATACATGATCAGCAATAGTAATCCTACTGTTTAATTACTTTAGACACTATTGCAATGCTACAGTCACTGTTGAATAAGATGAGTTTGAGCTTGCAAGCTTGTTAAAGGAAGAGAGAGCAGGGCTCAAAGTCTCTTCACTATCTACATTTATCATTCATTTTTGGAGTCTCTATTGGAATCATATGATTGCGCTATCTTTATTTATCTGACCCACTCTTGCCTTTGAAGTGCTCCTTTCATCTGCATTTTATAATGTACTTGTCTGAAGTCAGTATATTAGAATGGATT